GGATTTTATAGTATCCTTCCCCTGGAGTGGGGAGGGGAGGGGGATTTTATAGTATCCTTCCCCTGGAGTGGGGAGGAAATGGAGATTTTGCAGTATCCTTCCCCTGGAGTGGAGAGGGAATGGAGATTTTGAAATATCCTTCCCCTACCACTCCCACCAAGCCACACTCAGAGAACCAGCAGTAAAAATTTTTGAATCCCACCACTGATTCCAACTGATTGATTATTCTCACTGTCATCTTTGGAGGCTTTTCACCTCATTTTGTTCCTGTATTTTTTTTTTAACTCAGAATCTGTTGAAAGTCTTAGCTTCATGGTTTTGTCCAGGTCTGCTTCTGAAGTCCATTAAATTGACTTAGTGATAATTAATATCGATCCTATTGATGTTCCATTGGAGAATGACTCGACTAAGTGCTCCCTTTGTGTTCTGTTGTCAATTTTCTTTCTCCCTCTCCTTTTAGCTTCGGGAAATCGAGAGGCCAAAGTCGTGCTCCGCGTTTTCCTCTCTGCCAAACCTTTCCAAGCCAAAACCTGTCTTGGCTCGGCTATGACTTTGGTCAAACTCTTGGTCATCAACGGCACCGTGCCAGCATGCAGCCAGCTTTGTTTTCCTGACATGGACCTCTCTTTTCAAATCATGGAGAACAAGCCCCCTGGAATCTTCCATCAGCTCCAGTCTTTTGCCCTGCAGTACCAGTGTCACAATGTCAGCATTTCCTACAAGCTTATCACAGGTGAACTCTCCATTTATTCAATTGTCTTTTGGGTGATGGTAGTAGGCTATTTTTTATTGTGTAAAGTTAAAAGGTAAATTTTCCCCTCGCACATATGTGCTATTCATTCCTGACTCTAGGGGGTGGTGCTCATCTTTGTTTCAAAGTCGAAGAGCCAGCGCTGTCCGAAGGCGTCTCCATGGTCATGTGTGGCCGGCTTGACTAAATGCCAAAGGCGCATAGAACGCTGTTATCTTCCCACCAAAGGTGGTTCCTATTTTTCTACTTGCATTTTTACGT